CTCATCTTCATCATCTTCATTGCATAATGTTGATCAATACCTTAACCCTGATAACAGCGATACAAAGGAAATCCACACGAAGACCCAATCCTCGTCTCAGTCACAAAATTCTGAATCAAATTCACGCATTAACCCGTTAACTCATGTATGTCTCAAGAATTCCAAACATAAACCTAACAATATAAAAGAAGAGTCCAAGAGTACAAATACAAACTCTATGCCGGAGCCGCTTGTCTCACCAACAGTTGCGTCTACCAAACCAAAGAGAAATGGTCTATTACCTTTTGCTTCGCGCAAAATTTCAGAGGATAAGAAAGTGCCACGGAGAGTTAGCATGTCTACCGCATCCACCCCCACTAATTCTCAAGGCTCTCCATCAAAAACAAAAGCAGCCGAAACGATAGTGGAGGAATTAACGACGAAAGATTCTGAAAAATTGGCAGCAGGAGTAGGAACAATTCATGTTACCAACACGGCCACGAATATAGCTGATATTAGTAATATCATTGCTCCTTCTCCTCCCTCTCCTCCTGCTACTACTGCACCTCCTACGGTTACTGATACCGGAACTACCGTTGAGACTGTCACTATGATCGATACTTCTATTGTTACTGCAACGCCAAGCATAGTTGATACTGGCACTTCATCAAGCACACCAACAACAGGTTCGAAGACTCCAACGGAATATAATACCGAAACTCCCACGACGACCACTTCCATGTCATCAAGTTTAACGTCAACTAACTTGTCGACCATATCAACTACAAAGGAAGAGAAACGACGGCGAAAGAGAAAAGATGATGTTGCTGATTTATCAATCGTTGTCGCTGATGGTGTACCAGTTATTACCGGATATCCAATGGCCAGTCCAAGACGGAATAAGGACTATCATACATTGTTCAAAGGCGTCCCAATGACGGAATATTTGATCAATGATTACGGCTGCGCTTGGCAACGTGAGATATTGGCGCATGGAAGGATGTATATATCTGTTAATCATTTATGTTTTTACGCAAACATACTTGGTTGGGTTAGCCTTGTAAGTGATTGTCCTTATCGCAAAAGGATGTTTAAAAATTCTTACCGTGAGTATTCCCTGCCTAGGCAAGTGTAACTAAATTGTAAACTCTCCCCACAGGTTGTAATACCATTCAACGAGATAACCGCTATTGAAAAAAGGACGACAGCTTTCGTCATACCCAATGCGATCCTCATCACAACTCACCTTACTAGATATTTCTTTGCCTCCTTCCTTTCGCGTGACACTGCATTTGAATTGCTATCGAAAATGTGGCACCATTCCCAGTCGGTTTTTAATGAATCGGAGTATCATTCCGACGCTGGTGAACAGCCTAAATATGGTGGCAGTAATAATATCACCGACGCTTCTGAGACCGACGACGAGAATGTAGCCGGAGATGAAGGTAATTGACAGTGCAATCGGAGTAGATAGCAATATAGTTAGATAGTAGATAATAGCATGTCTACTATCTACACTGTTGATATAGTGTTATCTCCAATGACTCGAATTAACACTGTTCAATACAACATGGTAACCATTATTAATATTCAACTAATCTTGCTAAAAATTTGATTAGATGTTAAACCGACTAAAAGCAAGAAACTGATACTCCGCAAATTGAACAAGAAGAAGAAAGGTGATTCCTCTGACAGAGTTGATATAAAGTCATTGGAAACAAAGTCGCAACGATCATACCTACCAAGGGGAGATGAATCCCGTGGTCGTCGTTCCGGGACAGAAGATTATAGAATATCTTCTAGCTCACGACTATATAGCATGGCGGACAAGAGAACGACAAGTTCTAACCAACAAGCTATAAATAGATCGAAACGTGGTGCGACCACTTGTGCTTGTCTGGATAAAGGACATCATTATAACAATCTTGTGATGGACACAAAATTTACCGGAAGTGTAGAAAAGATGTATAATCTCTTGTTTAATTGCGATTTTCTTGAGCTGTTCTTGAAGAATATTGAAAAATGTTCAGGTATGTTACTGGAAGTATGATTGACGATAGACGATTCAAAACTAAGTCATATATTGGTGACTTTTTCATTCAGATATTAAATTAGGCGAATGGAAACCAACACAAAGCAATGTTCTCTGTCGCTCCTCATCATATACGATGCGTCTTACACATCCTATTGGTCCTAAATCCACCAAATGCTTCGTTGAGGATGAATGCCAACATTGTGACTATGATAAGTATATAACCAACGTCACTACTACAACAACGCCGGACGTGCCCCAAGGCAGCTGCTTTGTTGTTAAAACACGCTTGTGTATAATGTGGGCTGGTGCAAATGAAGTGCGGGTAATAGTTACTTGTGATATAGAATGGTCAAAGAATGCGTTTTTTAAAACACAAATTGAGCGAGGAGCGGTTGATGGTCAGCGAGCATATTTCAAGTCATTAACAAAATATATACAGAACTTTATTGCGAAGCATCCGGGTGAGTTCCAAGATCCCTTAGGTTCACCAGTCCCAGAAATGGAGCAAGCATCGTTTGAACAGTCTAATGATGAATCAGTATTGGCCATTGAGAACTCGTATACTGATGATGACACGCAGAGTTCAATAGTGAAAGAAACAACGTTCCAACACTTTTTCGGTTCCCTATCGCAGAGTCTACCTTATGAGCTTGTTAGTTCGCTGCAGCAAGGTGCATCTCTTGTTGTCTCTGTTAGCCAACCGGCTAATATACTGTCGGCGAAATCACTAGTCTTCCTCGCATTCCTTGTGCTTCTAGTTTCGAACATACAAATTTTATTGCAATTGCGTGCAATTAATAATCAGATGGTAGATACTGGCCATGGGGTTTCTATACCAGCAAACCAGGCAATCTTGGTCGAGTTGCGGAAACGTTGGACATTCGCAGTGTTAGATACATGGTACGAAAGGGATGATGAGGCATTGCGAGAATACTTTGTCAAGAAATTCGGCGAACTAACTGTATAGCAACTGGTTTTCTTTTTTTTGTAAATCTTTTTTGTCACACCTTTGTAAATTTTCCCACTTATATATATATTCTCATCTAATTTACACATAATGATAATAAAAACTGCTCATTTCAAAGTTCAGAAATAATAGGCCTGCTACCCTGCTAGTGATTATATATGAGTGTTATTGAATACATAACTCTCATAATACTATTATCCTATACGCATGGCAAGTTAAATAAGGCAGATTTCGTTTGCGGTTCTGCTATTGAAACCATATGCAAATGATGCTGAGACAATAAAGAAGTATTATCTCTATGGAAAGGCTGCAAATAGGAGGACTCGAATGACCGACTTTCGTTCGTCAAAGGGAGGTGATAAGTTCGTGCCTTCAGAAAGGTGATTCCATCAGGTTTCACATAAAACACATTTTAGCTAAACAAAGCTGGCATTGAGACTACGGCAACAGAAGTTACTTAGCCAGTAAAGGGAAATACGATAATATGGAGTAAACATTTTATAGACTGTTTTAAACCTGTAACGAAGAGAAAAGGAACAAATAATCATTTTCTTCAGTGACATTTCTGTCTAGTTTTGAAAGTTACAATTTTGAACTGAAGGTGCACAGTACCATAATAGCGTAACACGTTATTCCCGTGTATGCCATCTATAATATTGTAGACGGGCTAAACTGTTAACACTCATGTACTGTATACGTAGTATATAAATCCCGATTGTCTGTATAAAATCCGTACCAATGGAAAGTTGGATTAATTTCATTATTATTGTTTATATATTGAACTTTGTGCTTCCCGCTTCGAAAATGTAAATACTTTTATGGTTAATTATTGTATCACGACATGACGAGATGTCATCAAATAAATATCACTTTTTTATGCTTACTCCGAGATTTTGGGTTAATGAGAATGTATCATACTTTTATCATGTGATTACAAAAGCATAAGGTCATGTTGTTTACATTGATAACCATTGTAGCATTTATAATAAATTCTAAGCAAGTCCCTTTGAAAGTGCAATTCGTTTTAACCTTTAGCATTCTGTTACATTCTCGGTTTCTTTCCATAGGCGTAATTGGGTTTATTGTCGTTACATTGCGTTATTTATTAGTATTAGCTTACTGTATAACTTGGCAGCAACAAAGATAAGAGGAAATCTATCTGCGTACTTAGAAAGACTCAAAAAGTCTTGCTGGTTTGATCCTCAAATACGGCCTTTTAATTTTACGTTACATGAATAGGCGCAGATCATGTGATATGATTTTTCAATTCTAAATTTGCAGTTCTAACAGCGTTGATATGCCTCGTAGAAACCGTTGTTGTTGTAATAAAATCCCACCATTATAAAATATTAATGAAATCAACGAATTCGCTTTATAATCGTTAATCATACGACCACAAGGTTCGCGGAGACTTTTTTGGTGAGTCAAATTATCACCAATCAGATTCGTTGTACGCCCTGAGAGTTTCTACTATTCAACAACTTCCCCAGACATAATAACACTGTTACTACTCATTCGCAACAAGTCAATCTACCCTCATCATCTCTGTCCTCTTTTTAGGCAGCTATTCCCTCGTTTTCAATTTTCTTCTATATAAGGCAGCAACGCCAAAGAAGAGACATAGTAGCCATTTCCATACTTTATACACTTTTCTGCCGCTTATAACCCAACACCACTAATTCCCTTGCAGAGACCTCCCCAAAAACAAATTTTCTCATACTCGGACCAAGACAACTGGTAATAACGATGGGTGGATCCGTATCGAGAGCCTTGCTTAAAATCTTTGGGAATAAGGAGATGCGCATCCTCATGCTTGGTTTGGATGCTGCCGGGAAGACGAGTATCCTTTTTTGTTGTTAATTCTTCAGTTTGTTATGTGTCTCTATGCCATTACTGTAATCCTGGCATGCTTATGTTTCTGGATAATTTTAAACGCGAACAATTGTCAGACGCCTTTTGCTCTTTACTTTCGTGGTTGAAATTCTTGACTCTGCATTGTTTTTATAGCTATTCTGTATAAACTTAAGCTTAATCAATCTGTGACGACTATCCCCACTGTCGGTTTCAACGTCGAAACTGTGACTTACAAGAATGTTAAATTCAATGTCTGGGTAAGTGTCTAGTATAATGTATTAAGCAGTAACTGATAATCGCATTTGTTGTGAGTATGCGTATATTATCTATTGTATTAACTTATTAACACGTTATATCAGGATGTCGGCGGTCAGGACAAGATTCGCCCTCTGTGGCGTCATTATTATACTGGGACGCAAGGTCTCATCTTTGTAGTTGATTCTCAAGATCGCGATCGAATAGATGAGGCACGTCAAGAATTACACCGAATTATTTCAGATCGTGAAATGAGAGACTGTTTGTTACTAGTGTTTGCTAATAAACAAGATTTACCAGGCGGTAAGTAATAAGTAATGTAGAAGGATGGAACGTATAATGAAAATGGTGTTAGCCGGCGCATTAACCTATAGAATGTTATCCTTATTTCTTGATTACTTTATTACTGACAACATTATTTCTTTACGAATCTTTACTTACGTTATCAGCAATGTCGCCCGCTGAAGTTACCGAAAAACTCGGTCTGCATCGAATGCGTGATCGATCATGGTATGTCCATCCATCTTGCGCCACATCCGGCGATGGATTATTTGAGGGTCTTAACTGGTTAAGCCAGAATGCTAAGACAAAGTAGAGAACTGCTACGTATTCCGCTAAGATGCACGCATTAAGAGGATACAGGGTAGATTGGGCTATGTCTAGAGTTATTTCATTTGTTGGTGGCAGACAGTTGTCTTCATGTGATACGATATCATTTGGTTGTTGGTAGACTGTTTTTATACTTGTATTGTATTCTTCAATTATTTAAGTCTCCATCTTATCTTTCAAGCATACCTCTTTTATTCATCTCTTCTCATAACAATCCATTTCAAGGGGGGAATGGGTGTCATAATATTCTGCCTACGACTGTGCAATAATAATATACCAATATAGATAAACACATAATGTATGATTCTGGGTGAGATCATTGCGAAATGAACCATGATGTTTATGTTGTGAATAATTGTATTTGTATTATGTGCATATGTATGTATATAGAAACTGGCATGCATATTTAAAATTATCTACTATTACAATCAGTTGGTCAGTTCTGTTACGATGAACTGCAACCTATTAGAGAATACCAGTTCAGCAAGCGATCGATTATAAATTCCGTTTTTTATCCTCTTCTGATAAACGGACGCTCAGGTCGACGTGCTGGTTGCGATGGCATAGAACGCGGCGGCCATTCTGGGATGCTCCGTCCTCTCGTATCATTGCCTGCTTTAATGCGAGGAGCCATTCCGGGTTGTGATGCCTGCACTGGAGGACGTTCATACGGAGCCATTGGCATGCCATAATACTGATTATCATAGTATCCCGTGCGCATACTCTGGTTGTCATAACGAGGGTATTCCCTTCCCTCCATCCTCCTATCAACATCCATATATCGGGGCATAGGAGGGGGCATTAGTATAGGGGCAATAGTTGGTGGTCCTCCTGCGGCCCACGCTCCGCTTCCCATATCCCATGGTACTATAGTTGCGCCAGTATTACCGCCTCTGCCAACCACACCACCGCCACGTCCAGCATTACTGGCACCGCGTGATGCACCCCGGGCTGTAGGCGCTGAACTAGTACTAAGACGCCTTCCTCTTCCTCCTCTGATGCTGACGCTTGTCTGTGCCGGCTGAGCAGAAGATGAGATAATTCCGCCTCGTTTCAAAGTTTGTATTCGAGTCGCCGGAGTGACTTTCTTCTGTTGAATAGATGCTGCTGACGTAGGCGTTGATGTCGTTACATTTCCAGTTAGCATATCTGGATGTTGCTGGTTGGCTGGGATCTTACCAGAGATGAAATCATCCACGTGAACTGATGGAGGGCGACTAGTATTTGCCTTTCTATTATTGTGAATACTTCTAAATTCATTCTTTTGGTATGTCTTGCCGCCACCCAAATTTCGGCGAGCATTACTTTCATACGCAACTCCACCTAGTTTACTGACAGTGCCACGCGTTCTCAATAATTTGTCACCCTTATTAGCATTGCCTTCTGACATCCTCATTCCCTTGTGATAGTGGAAATTAGGTAACATTTCCTTAGCGTATGCTTCAAAGTCTATTTCGATATCTGATGGGCCGAATATACCTCCGTCGCCGCCCTTGTTCTCCGGGTCATCAGCCACGTCATAAAACATGGTTCTACGCAGTGCATCTAAAAACGACGAAATTAGATATCAGTTTATTAGTATCGCGAATAGTTATAAATTTTCGAACGACATGTTACAAGAATAAAGAAATCTTACTCGATCTATATCTGACACCATCACCTACGTCGCTGGATTCTTTCTTATTGGATTCGATCATTTGGACAAAGTGGGAATTATATACTTCGATTATATCGAGTAATTGACGCTTATTACCAGATTCCCTCAGTTCGAGTAAATATGCTTGTATACTCTCTCTCAATCGACGAAGAACTGATGCAACTGACTGGCAAGTGTTTATCTCATATACTTCATCTGAATGACGAGGCTCATATGGCAGTTCAAGAACATGTTGCTCAATATTCTCGTATGACTTGAGGAGAGTTTCTATGTCGTCAATTGAATCCAGCAATAACATTAAACATCCGACATTGCAATCACTATCATTAATGGTGTCATTAATGGTGTCACTACCCGTCATATCATCAGTAGCTAAATCTGGGGCATTATCGATTATCCGTTGTATAAACAGTACGGAATGAAGGCAAATGTTTAAGTCTTCCAGCCTCAAATCATTAGAACGTAATGATCCAGGAACCCATGTGAGTAGACTACTGACAGACTGTCGATGACTCTCGTGCGATAAAATCAACAATAAACCAATTTCTATCTCCGTAAACTTCTGCAAGATTTGTAGAGAACGAATCCGCAGATGTCCATTGTCTTGCATCACCCATTCCAATAAATTCTCTAAAATGTATGATATCTCATCAACGCTAAGCACATTACTATGATACATAGCCAAGGTATGATCACATATATCATATATAAACTCCATGATAAGATCGCATACTACCTGGGAAATACTATTGCTGCGGACAACGTCAAATAGTATATTAAGTAAACTATCATCGGAATTCGGTTTTCCTTCCTTAAAAGTATCATCTACTTCCATGGAATCATCTAGCTTATTATTCAATACATCAAGCATGCACAGTCTTCCACACGGAACGTTGACTATGGCATTAAGAAGGCTAAGCCATCGACAGAATATAGATTCATCTTTTTCCACTTCGGGCATCGAAATTGATACATCCTCCATATTGTCAAGTTCGTTATCATCATCGTTTGATGTATTATGACGTTTCGACTCTAACTTGTCCAAAGATGATCTGAGTGTAATTACCGCTTCTCGTACGCCACAGACCACAACATCAATAACTGCTCTTCCTAGACCAGAATCGTTGACGTCTAAATCGACAAGTTGACAACTAATTGTTCTGAGTTTTAGATGAATGATCTTGGAACTAGATGGAGCCATACATCGAACCAAATTCACTATATCATCTCTCAAAGGCAATAATTGTTTAGTCCAATATTCTCTCACTGCAAGAGTATTCAACCAATCAGCCGTTTCGCCATCATTTGGAGTAAAATCATTTAGATTAGTACGTCGCGATTCGGAAGCCAAATTCACAGACATCTCATGACTGCGATCTCCATTTGTAGACAATTCTCGCAGGTTAGGCAATATATCACACATAAGTATTAATCCACTCAGAAAGTTATCAGGCGCATCGAACGTGAAATTAATTAAATGCTGGATGATATGTCTTCCAGCATATTCAGACATATACCGAGAACAGACTGACGTTCCTTGCCCAATTGATTGTCGCTCTGTTATGACCATTTGCAATAATAATCTAAACATACTAAGTACAAGCTCACGCAGTCTCTCTATCTGAGACATCTGACTTCTTTTTGGTGGTTGCGAAATACGTAGTATTGCTGTCCCACCTAACTGCTCATTAATGTGTCCATCCAATCGATCGAGTGCTGAGGTGAGTTCTAACAAAGACTCAATAAATGCTAGCAACATGGATCTTTTTTGTGACGGAAGAGTATCATCAATTGTCTCATTCTCTTCAAATATGTTTTTAAAATGTCTTTTTGATACATTTGCCTCTCGATCTTCATACGCATATCGAAATAGTCTTCTTATTAGCAATATATTGCACGACAGTACGTTCAATAAATCTGCCTTTAGATCAATAATCTCCATAAGAGATAAGTTTGCAGCAGGCATATCGTCTGGCATTAATTCGCAATAACACTGTTCATTCTTATCTTGCTTGTCTTGCTTATCTGCTTCACTCTTGTTCTGTTCACCTAGAGACATTTTCATCTCCTGTGCTTTTGATTCTTCTGTATTATACACTTTACTGAGACTATTCTGAGTGGAGTCTGGTGATGCATGATGATCTGAATAAACAGCGTTATCACTTAGGTCTGATAGCACTTCAGCAGCCTGTCTTGTTAATCTCAATAGGAATACTATTAGACTATCGCCATTATCTAATCCGCTGAAGTCATCGGTACGTGCTGTCAATAGTTGCAATATCCCGCCATCGACGTATGTGTAACATATAAGAAGTCGCAATCCTATCAGGACTTGGTTGACGATATTGCGATCTCTAAGACATTCCGGATAATACTTCTGATGTTTAATTATATCCACGACACTCTGTATGCTACCTGATTCATGAAACGTAGCAATTGGAAGCCATAGGGTACGTAAATGACTCTCCGTTGCAAGTGTAGATATCACACAATCGTTTATGTCTGCACTTAAGATAAGTGGAAATGCCGCACTGTGCTTCACGACCAATTCAAATAATTCCAATGATATGTCAGATGAGAATGTTGCCGTGGACGCGGAAATTGATGATTCCGCTTCACGAGATATATTGATTAACGATAATAAAGATGGTAGCGCATCCAAACTGATAATGGCTGATGCAACAGCCTAGAATGAGAACGATGGTGATAACAATATTGAATAGCATTAATATCAAAATCGATAATATAAAGTTCAATAGCACGAATAAGTAAAAACACACAATATTAAGCATACAAAGAAACCAGCTAGCTGAACAAAAAATGTTGTTGTGGAATATAACATTAACAAATTACCTGTTTTCCAACGTTACAAACTGTTAACTCGTGTAGCTTCATTAATAGAAGTAGAATTTTTTCATTGTCTAGTCCATCATTGCCATCTTCTGACATATGTTTAGTATATAATAATAGTCGCTCTACTATCCCGATGGCATGCATCTGGTACTTTAGTAGTATGGCCAGATGTTCGGGCGATGTTTCTAATCTGTCTAAGCAATCATTATCCGCTCCAATTGTTCCACAACTCTGCATCCGGAGAATCTGACGCGCTTTGTGACGATCGGGATCACCCTGTTGATGATGATGATGATCATCGTCATCACCATCATCGTCGTCGTCGTCATCATCATTGCTACACGTTGACGTCTGCCAATATCCACACCACAAATCAGCTATACCTAAGGTATCTCTTATCTCCTGGTTATTGTTCCATCTCTCGTTAGTAGTAGATGGTGTATTAGGGATAGATGCTTCCGAACTATCTTCATAGTGCGCAGGTGAATCTTCACCTAGATGACGTAGTTGATTCACCCATACGGTAATCATTCTCTCATTATGCGGTTGTATCACTTCTTGCAATTGTTTGGCCAAATAAACCATTCCACTGTGAGTTCCCATCAATGCCACACAAAATCTCCCGATATAGCTGATCAATACATCATATTTAGGCGACGATTTAATGCGTTCGGATGATATAATAGTTGTTATTGATGAGAATAAGCCCGTGACAGTGAGATACTGGAAACTGAATGCGGATGGGCGGTCTGAACTGTCTTCTCTCGGCTTCAAAGCGGTATGATAAAGCACTGCTTTATATATTATCTTCAGTTTTTCACATAAAATATCGGTTACCGTGTCAACATCTCCCCTGTCATTTTCAGCCCCCTCATGATCAATCATCATTGGAACATTGTCTGTGGTATCCGGTGTTTCTTCTTCATCCATTATCGAATTAGTTGATTTACGTCTTTCCAGTTTAACTTTTCCCTTCTGAAATTTTGAATTGACGCGATCTTCATCTTCAGCTATCTTCTTTATGCAGACGCAGGCTTCATAAGAACCAACTTTGCGCACTATATCATGTACTAAATACAACACTCGAGTAGGACGATCAGGAATATACAGAATATTTACAATATGCTTATGGTATAATACATCACCCTCATTAGCACCATTATCCCCATTAATCCATCCAAGTAGTCTATCAACGACTCGTGAATCGTCCATACATTCTAACAAGTTTCTCAGTATAATCGATTGAACATACGTTGAAATACTAGAGTCGCTCAGTAGTCCCACTATTCTATTAACACATCTCCATATCTATGTAAGATAATATTGGGAAAGATTATGTCGAGTATACATGCATACATATACGTTAAAATACAAAAGTAACGAAATTGAATAGCAAATAAGTAAATTGCGTACCAACGATGATTCAACAATATTACTACCACAGCTACATAGCTTCCTAAACACCGCAAGGCTACTTTCCATGCATTTGACCGATGACTATAAAAAGCACAGGGCAGATAGGTTATCACATGGTAAATGGAAGCAAGCATTAACAAAAAATAATACACAAACACATGAGAACAAAAGCAAAAATAGTGACCTTTCCAGATGGCAAATCGCAT